TGTCCTCTTAGTGCGGATGTGGCGATGGCAACTTTTTGTCTTTCAGGAACAGGGTAGAGCTGAAAGTGGTTTTCTAGACCTTCTAGAAATACCACCACCGAATTTTTTCCGTCGAAATGGACGTTTGGCTTGATTGACGCTCTCAAAGTCTGGACCAGGTATCCAAATCCTTCCAATTGGCTTGTCATTTCTTGGTGTTGTCCAGCGGTTTCCATCCAATTTTCGGCCATTTTAGTTCGATAAGTGTTCGGGCGCCAATGTAGCGTTGCGCGCCTCCAAACTTGCACGCAACCAAGAGGTGACTGGGAAAACTGGATAAAAGACAGAGTCTTGTTAAGGGTTTAAGTCCCTTTTTATTCAACGTAATAAATTACAAGTGCGTGCTCTTGACGCTCACAAACTGTGCCAACTCGGCGGTCAAATAAAAATAATAACCTGAAAAGAAACTAAAGACAAGACTCTAACTACGAGGCTCTCTAAAAGTAACTAACTCACCTCGTTTTACAATACTGCTGCTAATTCAGCAAACTTGAAGATCACTTGAACGATTAACACTACTTCCAGGCAAGCACACAGGCCGAAACGCGGGGTTCTTCAATTTCTGGCCAACTACCTCCGCGCTCGTGAAGTAAGAATATCACACCTCGAACTCGTTTCCTTTCTATTTAAATCAGAATACTTCCGCTGATAATTTGAATCCTTGCACGTTCTACTAAAATTTACATACTCTGGCATTGGCAGTTCCAGGGGAAAGTAAGGCTTGACAGGAAAGATAGTTTAAACTTAAAATAAATGTTAGTTAAAATAAATATAAACCCTACATGCTTTAAGGTTACTTGGTATTTTAGTAGTTGCAGGGTTTAGAAATGCAAACAGCCTAGTAGGACGAATTTCTTCATAGAATGCTTTATATGAGAAATAGATCTGTCTTCATGTTACACATATGGTGAAAACCTGAATAGCCAACCTGTTGACTGAGAACACAAACCACGGTGAATTATTAATGTTCATTAGTGTCCCCCATTTAGCTCAGACGGTAAAAAACAACTTCATGGTTCTCTAACATAAACTGGCCTATATTTGAAGAAAATTGTAGAATGATCATGCATTTAGTCCAATTATCTGCCAATAGAATGTAGGCCAACTGTCAGTATTTCACCATTTGTATTTTTAAAACTACTTTGAAAATATCCGAAAAGAAAGCATTTTAAAAATATTTTTGCTTTAAATACATTATTGTTATTCTTATCATGGACACAGTGATCTGTTTTCACTTAAGAAACTAGAGAATTCCATACATTATATATTATATGACACAATACCATTTTTATACGTATGCACACAGTGGTCTTTTTCTGCATTAAAAAAGGTAAAAATATATTTAGGGGTGTCCCTTGGTGATTTTTAGCTGTACATATTTGCCGCTACACAAAGCCAAAATAACAAGTCAAAGAATTGCACAAACTCGGTATCCATGTACACATCAACCTATTTTCACTTAAAAAAAATCAGGTAATTGCACAAACTAGGCATTGTGCATTCTCTTGCCATTGTCCGTGTACACATCGAACTATATTCACTTAAAAAGTCAAAGGAGCAGCCAACAAAAAATATATAATCTCAATAAACTACATTTTAAATCAAGCAATGAAATAACATAAAAAAGGAAATTCATCTTAGCACTACACAAAGAAAATATCCACTTACCTTATTTACGAATTTACGTGTCTTCAGTCAAAATTCCTTAACAGCATCCTAAAATTATAAAAAAAATCTGTATACTGGTGTCGCCACATAAATTCACAAAAATAAGAGTAAAAAATATCATCCGTAGTGCCGGTGTCTTCCAACGTTCGACCATACGCATTTCCTTCCTACAAACAGGACACTTAATAATAATGGCTACTAAGTAGACCTTCATTTACACACCAGTCAATTAATGCTTTTCTGCCTTTCGTTTTAAATCTTACAGAACTTCAAATTAATCTTACCGCATTCAACCATTTTACCGTGTAAACCACAAAATAACAACATACTTATCCAAAATCCGACACACACTTTATAAATCTTTTTCCATGATTCAAATTGACTGCAATAACGCAACCAATTACATCATAATAGGGTTTCCATCATTCAACTACAGTCAAAAGTCGTTAATCCGGACTCGTCGGGACTTCGGCGATTCCGGATTATCGATTTTTCCGGATTATAGATCATCAGTTTAAACCTGGTAAGATGGCATGCAGAAATTACAAAATTAAAAATATGAAACCGTAATTTATGAAATAAAGAACAATTATGATCTAAAGGGTATCAAAATTTACAAAAAGAAAAAGCTTAATATTTATTTGTTTACTTTATTAAACATTTCCTTCAATGTAAGTTGCTTCGTTTCATGTGATAATACTTTCTCTTTTAATTCTATTAAACAGACATAATTTCTTGTTTAGTTACAAAGTTCCGCTGTTCAAGTCCTATAATTGCTGTGTTGAGAATACCGACTAATTTGTCAATCGAAATGTTTTCGTTTTCAATAACCTCTGGGTCACTTTCTTCACTATCCGAAGCGAATTATAATGACGAGGAACTTGATTTAAATCATATCAAAGACAGAATGAAATACTACACTTAGTATGGAATTATAAACCAAATAAAATAAAAACATCTGCCCTGAAGATAAGGGTAGTGCTGACAGATCAACTTCCAATCCGCTGCGTGAAATTGATAAACAGATTTCGGATCTCAAAACATACTTTCGCTTTGTAGATACAAATTACATATTAGTAAATATATATCCGATATTCTATTTGACATAATCTTTCTAATCTATCATAATCTAATAATGACGTTTCTGCCCCTCCCCTTCTGCCGCAGAGCAGCGTGAAATTGATAAACAGATTTCGAATTTCAAAACATACTTTCGCTTTGTAGTAAATATATATCGGAAATTCTATTTGACATAATCGAAAGTTCAAGCTTACTTTTATAAAATTGCTCTAACAGTCTGCAAAAAATAATAAGCCGGATCCAATTCGAAGATTAAGGAACAACGCAATCGGCAACATTAACTGAATTAGATAACTTTAGCTTAGCGTGTAACTCCGTTACAATTTAAACGCGCATTCGCACAAACATATTTGCAGCCGTAAGGGTCTTACGCGCTCTCGTAAACGCCTGTGCGCATGCGTGAACGCGACGCATGCGCAGAAAGTTTGTAGCTTTGAGGTTCGGATTATAGATCATTCCGGATTATGGGTGTCCGAATTAACGACTTTTGACTGTATTACAGTATAGAGTTCAAAATCCGGACTCATCGGGATTTGGCGATTCTGGATTTGGGATTTTTCCAGATAACAGATCATCTATTTGAATCTGGTAAGATGGCCTGCAGAAATTAGACAATTAAAATATGAAATCGTAATTTATAAAATAAAGAGCAATTATGATCAGGGTATTAAAATTTACACACACACAAAAAAAGCTTGATATTTATTTTATTAAACATTTCTTTCAATGTAAAATTCAAAAAGTTCCTTTTTCTTTTTTGTGTCATATGCAGTGGACTTTCCAATGCCATACACCTTGCATAATTTTGAGATGGATATGCCTGTATCCATTTTTTGCAGCAATTCCACTTTTTGTTTAATGGACATCGAAACATGGTTTTGCTTTGTAGATCCTTTGGCAACTCCAGAATTGGAAAATCTTGTCTACATTATCAAAAGTGAAGCTTAGTTTTTATAAAATTGCTGTAATAATAATAGTCTGCAAAAAAATAATAAGCTGGATCAAATTAGAAGATCAGGGAGCAGTGCAGTCTGCTATATTAATTGAAATGCCTTATAATCAGTAAAGATAATTTTAGCCTAGCTTAATAGCATCTGTTATACATTATTGGCTGTGTATCACAAGATTGGCGAAAGCCAAGTTGTTTCCCTAAATTTTGTCTTGCTCCTTTTGTGTACTGAATTAAGCCTGAATTGTATTAGTTTAGTTATTTACTATACGTATGTTTATTTCTTGCACATGCTTAAAACTAATCTGAGTCCTGAATAAATAAACTCCCACATATACTTAAGGCATTATCTAGGGCAGGGGCTCGATACCACCTGGTGCAGTCTCTACGGGTCCTTTGTCCTGCTACAAAGCGCTTTCCTAAGTTCTAAATTTTCATCACACCTAAACTTTGAATCCCAGTGCTTTCCCTAAATCATAAAAACTTTTCATCCCTTAATTTTGCCTCTTGTTGCTTCCCCAAATTTCAAAAATTTCGTCTTCCTAAATTCTGTCGTCCGGTGCCGACATATTCTGCTGCTGCTTCTGGGTTTATGGTGAATAACATATCAGTTATTCTTAATTAAAATAGCACTAAATGTAATCTTTTGGCCTCTGAGTTTCATTAACAAAATCTATTTTTAGCATATGAAAAGAAAATTTTGTTGAATTTTTTCTCGTCAACATTTCTTAGAGCATTTAAAAATCTATAATCATCGCCAAGTGTAATGTTAGCATAAAAGGTTGCCTTACTCTTGTTATTCAATTACTAATATAAAAAAAGTTTAGTCATTACAGCATAAGTTATTACTGAAGCTGTCATGTATTGATAAACATGCAGTGATGAAAGCAAAATATAATAAATAATGACTTGCTAGGTCAGCATCAGGTATATAAAATAGGTGAATTTTTATGTTTGAGATGTATGCCAAGTAGATACTCAGTTACAGAACCAAATTATTAATCTCACAAATTTATGAACCAAACTTATGTTCTTGTATTTCCAGTAACTGCTCTGGATAGTTTCTCAGATTTCAACAAATTTGTTTAACGACCACAATCAAATACCATCGCCTTAATTTCTCTTTATACTGAGTGATTTTTTAAATGACAAAGTTGATTAAAGTGGGAGAATAAATTTCATGTATTGAATTATGTCTACAGAATTTTAATTAGAGTTTTTTATTGTATAATCTGTAATTGATTTCAATCATATTTATGCAGATATTACAAGCCATTGAGGCTGTAAAGTATATGAATGAGAAGTTTTTTGAGGATGAGTCTAAGAAGAGGCCTCTGATAGAAGAAAATCCTATATTTTTACAAGTATCTCTTAAAAAGATTCCTTCAAGTAAATTGATAAAAATCATCAAAGCGTAAGTATTAGCTTCTCTTTTCGCATGTACGTATTGTACTGTAAAAGTGATTGTGTTGTATAGGTAAGATTAAAAATTGTACATGAGATATCTATTACTAGTGCTCAGTAATATATCTCTTACATTTTGAATGCCATTAACCATGCAAATATTGAATCATTCTTAAAATTCATCAACATAGTTATACATTTTCTTTTAGTAAATGTTGATCTTGGTCTAGTCCAGTTTCAAAATTTGCTTTTTTCCCTTCCCCCCACTGACAAGAAAAACCCTATACCAAGTTCCACTATCCATGCTATAAAAATTTTTGCTTGAAATTTTGTTGCAGCCTGTTAGCAGTGAAAACCTGTTATGAATTACAGTAGAGTTTGTAGTTATCTGTGAAAAACCTTTTTATTGTTTAAAAATTAAAAAGTTATATCTTATCTATTGTAACAAAAGTTTTCCACCAAAAAAGGTTCTTAATGAAGTTAGAGAGAGAGAGAGAGAGAGAGGAAAAAAAAAAAAAAAAAAAAAAAAAAAAAAAACTTGAATTCTTAGAATGCTTGTCAAATAATGGAAGGAAACTGGTTTATACACATCTGACACAGTAGCAGTCAGGAGATACTTCCAGTGATGATCACATTTTATATTACCTTGTCACAATAGATTACTAGATATTTCCATGGGAGCTCTAAGAATACGGAATGAACGTATACAGAAACAGGTAGCTGGGTGTCTAGACCTACAGCTAATAAAAGGCTACTGGTGAGAGTTGCATTTTGTGTAAGAATAAATAAAGATGTGTGTTGATCCCAATTCATCAAAAGAAATGTTTTGCATAGGTTAAAAATCACTTATCTTGGATGAAAACAGAATGGCAAATGGAAATTTGAACTGGTGAGTAGCCGTTTTCCGTTCTGTTGAGAAATAATATATGATAAGTGAGCCTTCAATTCAGTGAATGGTTTATTAAAAACTGCGGGGAATAAGAAGCTTTCAGCCATTGTGCAAATGTATAGAAATTATACTTTATGTGGTATTTGCATATGATTGGAACATAAATGCACCGTGGTATTAAGAAATTTTACAGCAGTATTTGCTGCCTTCAGTGGCTGAGTAAGATTCTCATACCTGAATCTTATCTGACTGTATACTATATGTTCTGCCATTATTTGTCTTTGCCCAAATAATTTCTCAAATTCATGCTAGCTGCTCTAAGAAAAGATCAGCTAAAGGATCTTATCTAAGGAGCATAAACCAAAATTTCTGGAGGAATTTCCAGTTTAGATCAATTTCTTTGTTTTATTTTGAATAAATTCATACTAAGCATTATATGCTGTAATATTATGAATTTAGACATTTGCAACAAAATTTTGCTGATTTGAAGTTTATAGAGCACTTTCATAAACATCCTTTTTTACTATGTGAAATTATAGATAAATCTGTAATAAGCATTATAAAACTCTTAATTTGAATATTATTTTAAAATATCACTTTTTATCATTTCTGTAACAAACAATTAATTCAATCTTTAAAGCACTTAATTTATAAATTTTTCAATAGTAAAAATGTTATACATTCATGAAAAGCTTCATACCTTATGTATTTTTAGGCCTCTTCCTAATTCATTAGTTGGAGATACTTCAGATGTCTGCCTCATCACTGGTGATCTAGATAAAAACGATCGTAAAGCAGAAATAGAGCCTACTGTTTTACACTACAAAGATCTTTTAATGCAGCATGGTGTAAAGGAAAATGTAGAGGTATTTGCATTATTCAAAAGTATAGTAAACTCTCGTTAATTCAAAGTGGATAATTGCAAATTTTTATTAATTGGATTCCAGTGACTTTTGGCATTGTAGTAAAGCATTTTGATTAATAAGTTTCCCACACCATGGTAGTTTAAAATAGACCTTTTCTATATCAACATGATAATGTTTTGGTCCATACTATAAGATGAGCTAGTGGAAGGTTAATTGCTACTTTAACACACAAAATAGGTCAGACTTCCTATTAATAGCCTGGCTGGTGCTATTGAAAACAGCAGCAATTTTTTAAAAATTTTACAAAATTGTTCTGGTTTTATAATTTTTTATAAATCTTACATTTTTATTTATTCATTTATTGTAAAGGTACCAAAAACTATTACAACTTGATGATTTTTCACATTGTTTACACTTTTTATTGATGGCATTAATAAAAAAGGCATTGAATTTGTCTTTTTTATTACATCAAAAAAGAAATTACAGTCAAAAGTCGTTAATTCGGACACCCATAATCCGGACCTCAAAGCTACAAACTTTCTGCGCATGCATTGCGTTGACGCATGTGCGTAAGACATTTACGGCTGCAAATATGCGTGTGCGCGTGCACAAAATACGTTTACGAATGCGTGTTTAATGTATAACGGATGGTATAAGCTAAGCTAAAATTATCTAATTCAGTTAATGTTGCAGATTGCGTTATTCCTTAATCTTCGAATTGGATTCGGCTTATTATTTTTTGCAGACTGTTAGAGCAATTTTATAAAAGTAAGTTTGAACTTTCGATTATGTCAAATAGAATTTCTGATATATATTTACTAATATGTAAAGGATCTACAAAGCGAAAGTATGTTTCGAAGTCCATTAAACAAAAAGAGGAATTGCTGCAAAAAATGGGATAAAGGCATATCCTTTGGTTTATCTAAACCATTCCAAAACTTTGTTTATCAATTTAACACCTGCTCTGCGGTGGTGGGCGGAAACGTCGCGGAGCGCAATTGAACTGAAGTTGATCTGTCAGCACTATCCTTATCTTCAGGGCAGATGTTTTTATTTTATTTGGCTTATAATTCCTTACTAAATGTAGTATTTCATCTCGATGTACTCCGTCTTTGATATGATTTAAATCAAATTCCTCGTCATTATAATTCGCTCCCGATAGCGAAGAAAGTGACAGGATTTATTGAAAACGAAAAAATTTTGATTGACGAATTAGTCGGTATTCTCGACACAGCAATTATAGGAATTGAACAGCGGAACTTTGTAACTGAACAAGAAATTATGTCTGTTTATAGAATTAAAGAGAATGTATTATCACATAAAAAACGAAGCAACTTAAACAACTTACATTGAAAGAAATGTTTAATAAAGTAAACAAATAAATATTAAGCTTTTTTTTTTTGTAAATTTTGATACCCTTTAGATCATAATTCTTCTTTATTTCATAAATTACGGTTTCATATTTTTAATTTTATAATTTCTGCATGCCATCTTACCAGATTTAAACTGATGATCTATAATCCGGAAAAATCGATAATCCGGAATCGCCGAAGTCCCGACGAGTCCGGATTAACGACTTTTGACTGTATTCCCTTTTTAGAATATGAATTTTTTTAGCCCTATGACCAGGAAGGCAATATATATATATAGACTAGAATTTTTTTTTCTGATGCCTGTAAGAATGTATATATCTGTGCATCTTGAAATATGTCTAAGAAATTAAGTCAATGTATAAAGATAGTTAAATCTGGGTAAGGGGGTTTTGGTATTAAAATAAAGAAAATACCTCTTTTTCATGGCAGTTTTTAAGGTTTCTTAGTAAAATTTGTTGAAAATTTTGGATTTTGCAGAAATTTGGCCTTTTTGTGATGGTGGTCAGAGGGGTAATATATGTTGTTAAGTTTGATGGTTTATCAAAACTTTAGCAAGTTGAAGATCAGATGGTATACAGAAATTTTGATTTGGTGATTTACGAATTTCATGATGATTTTTAACAAATAATAATTTTTTTTTTTGGTAAAATGGCATTAAAATAAAACATTTTTATCATCCTCTTATGTTATAATAAGCATTTCATATTTTTTTAAAGAGAAATAATGTTATAAAGTACAGTTTCCAAATTACATTTTAGTGCAAGCAAAGTAAATATGTTAAGATGTTGACTGACACACCCCTAGATTCCAGTCCGAGAAGCCAAATCAATTTAATCATATTATATTATTAAAAATACTAATTATGATTCGTAACAATCATTAAAAAGTTTAAAGATTTTTTGGGGGGGGTTAGAAAAAAAAAGGGTCCTACGAAATATCTCGTAGTCGGCTTTTGTTAGACAAAGCTCTTCGCAGAAGTCCACTACGAGTTGATATTTGTACAGATGTGTTTCAACTTTTCACTTCGGTGCAGCTAAAACAAGCGCTAAGTAAGTAAGTAACTTCAGGGTTCGTACAATCCTTAACAGTCCTTAGATTTTTTGGAATCGATTTTTAGTCCTTAAAAGTCCTTACTTTTGGCCAAAATCAGCAGAAGGTCCTTAATTTTAATCATCTGAAATTTCTGTTTTTACGACTGGCATTTTGAGTATGAATTAGCATTTTGGAGGAATATTTTTTGGCGATTCACTGACATATATGGTTATCTTTTGAATGAATTCATGGGCCATAATTTGTTTCTATTTCTAATATAAATGATGGGATACTTTAGTTTCTAAGCAAGAAGTGAAACATAAACATTTCGAAATTCATTTTTTCTAATAAAGAGCTCTTAAACAAATTTTCACTTTTGGGGATGTGAATTCTTTTATTAAACGGTTCTAAATTTGGCGACTTATCAATATTTGGGCGATTTTAAGATCAGTTTCTATAGAAAATTTTTAATTCCGAGATTCCGAGATAAAAAGGTTTTTTTTTCCCCCCAACAGAGTGTTGCCATTGCTCGCTTTGAAATCCTTGAATTTGTTAATCAAAAATTCATTAAAGTTTTACAAAATATGAAACCAATAATAAAACAAATTCCAAATTTAAAATTTGGTCTTCCGCATGCCCATATTCGTAGGAGGATTACGTCATTCAAAATTCGATGGCTATATGTTCCATTGTTTTATCACAATGCGAGAAATATACATACATTTATGCAGATTTTTCATTATTTAATTTCTTCAAATATAGTGCGGGACTCTAACATTTGGTGGCAACAGTTTGAAAAGTGAAAAGGACATTTATAGTGATTCAATGCAAAATCGCAAAACAAAAACAATAGTCCTTCAGGGACAAAGCCCCTTTGGACTAATAAAACATATTTATTTTTTGCTGTCATATTATAGTTTCATTTTGGCAACTTATTGTACAATAGTTTGGATCTGAAAAGTGAAGAAGGTATAATACTATAAAGCACAATTTACGAAACAGCTCTTTGCAAAAGCAAAATTAGCTATGTAATTAATTAAAAATGTCTTTTTTTAACTTTTTTCATAGTAAAAGTTTTTCCCATGTAATTGTCTCAGAGTATTCAAAACTCTTAGAATATACATCAGTTTTTTCTATAAAATTAATTTTACACTTTTCCCTCCTTTTTTTTTTTTTTTTTTCCAAAATATTTTTGCCTTTTTGCTGTTACAAAATTGGTAGGAATAATTTTTCTTTAGGGTTTTAGACATTGCAGTTTGGAAAGTTTAGAAGGATTTGAAGGCAAGATTTATAGACACACGATTCTAGAAGATTCAAGAAATATGTGACAAAATGAAAAATGTCTCCATGGTATCAACACATAATCAATGTATTTTATAGAAAGTTTGCGATGAATTTCTTACTTTTTGGAGAACGCCTGGAAGAACAATGAAAATATAATATTTGAATGTTTTACTTCTGCTACTAGAATCATTTTCTTACGTTCTGATTGTCAAGTTTTGTCTCTCCGATGATTAGAAGTAGAGTTTTGGCTATTTTTGTTCTACACCATGAACTGGAAATTTGCTGTTTAAAAGGCCGGAAGTTGCTGTTTAATGGCCGGAAGTTGATGTTTAAGGAACACAGACTGCTCTAAACAAGAATATATCATTTGAATACTGTTGGTGATATTCAAAGGATGATTTTGAAATATACAGGGGTTGGACAAAAATATGGAAACACCTTTAAAAAAACATGTTTCTTTGCTTAATATGTATAGGAAACCCGTTGGCATCCAAAACAGCTTGCAGTCTTCTCGGAATGGATAAATACAGTTCCTGTATGTTTGCCAAGGGAATATTATACCATTCTTCCTGCAAAACGGTGGCAAGTTCAGATAACGATGTTGGCGGTGGATAACGAGACCGCACTTTCCGTTCCAATGTAGACCACAAAGGTTCGATAATATTCAGGTCTGGTGACTGTGGTGGCCAGGGGAGATGGGACAACTCATCCTCGTGCTCAGAAAACCAGTCCTGGACAATGTAAGCTGTGTGAATAGGGCCTTTGTCGTCTTGGAAGACACCATCACCATCGGAGGAACAAAGTTTGTACCATGGGATGAACTTGATCGGCCAAAATGTTCACATAAGTCTTGGCAGTCATGTGCCCTGACATAGTTATCATGGGGCTAGCAGAGAACCACGATATGGCTGTCCAAACCATAACAGAACCCCCGCCATGTTTCACTCTTGGCAACAAAGCAGTCTGTATTATAGGCTTGAGATGGCGTTCTCCAGATGTAAACTCGGCCGGAAGTGGGAAACAATGTGAAAGAAGACTCGTCAGACCATATTACTCGCTTCCACTGCTCTATAGTCTAGGCTTTATGAAACACCACCTTTCCCTGTTATGGGCATTAGCATCACTGATGAGTGGCTTCTCAATTGCAGCACGGCCAGCAATTCCCTATTTATGAAGCTCCCTTCTAATTGTTTTGGTACTCACAGGGTTCGGTAACACAACACTCATTTCAGCAGTAACTTTTGCAGCTGTGGTCTTCTTATTTTTTGTCACAATTGCCCTTAATGATCGTCTGTCACGATCACTCAGGAC